GGGTAGTTCACTCCAGACCAGTGAAATGAGGCCAGCTATTCTGATGGGAATAACTAATGAGACACATACAGAAACGAAGTTCAATGTTAAACAGAGGAACACTGTTGGTAGAATTGAATAGATACAACTTTTTTGGAGCGCATTTTGGCAATAGCTATTAAAATTGATCCGGCAATTCCACTTTGCCAAATTTATTCTGTGTGTATACTCCCTGACATGTGTCCAAGGATGAACAATGCTGCATTATTTGGAAAAAGAATCTTTTTAACTGAAAACAAGCTAAATATCCATCTATAAGGTGCTGGTTATGAGGCTGTCTAACGTGTAAAGCTTTTCAATGTACACGAAAATGCAAGGTTCAAAAGAGTGTGTATATTATAATCCTACTTGTATAAAAACCTGTATGTATCATATAACTAAATATGTTGATATTTACAATATTAATATATTTACATATGTATTAGAAATCCCTGGAAACATCCAGATGTGGCAAAGTGGAAGCTTAGGGGCAAATCTGGTCTACAGGGAGATTCATTTATTGCGCTTTTTTGTTTTAAATTTAAATGTGAATGCCTGTAGAAAGGGCCCTTTACTCTCTAGTCTCACACCCTTCAGTTCCCCCAGCTGTTACTTGGCCTGGTCCCTAAATGCGAGTGAGAATAGATGCAGGCACTTGTGGGGGTGGCTGGAGGCATGCTTTTAGTATTTACTTTCCACTTCTGATCTGTAAGCAAACATGACATTTATGACTTAAGGGAGGGTAGACTGGGGACTGACGTCTTTCCATGTCGGAGAGAACAAGGACTAGAGGAAAATAAGGATCCTGAGAGATGAGACACTGATTTGGAAGTTACTGCTACAGGCGAGATAAGGAGCAAGCGGAGGCTGAGCCAGCCAGAGCAAGGATGAATTGTGAAGCCCAGATTTGAAGCTTCTTTTAAAATCCCTTATCAGCCACTGCAGTTAAAGGAATGTACAGGCTTCTCTTTCTTCTTCTTTCTTTCCTGTCATGAATAATTGCAGCCTGTGGTTTATCACATGGGCAGCTGGGCAGGACTCTGTTGTGCTCTGTGGGAACCCAGCTCTGCTCATAGCACTCCTGGAGAGTCTCATTCTCCTGTGCCTGTGAGTTAATTTCTTTCCCTTCACAGTGTTGGCACCAGCTGTACAGAAAGCAGGAGTCTTCAGCACCAAATATACAGCAGAAATCAAACTTGGATGTGCCTGTACAGAGTCTACCAGATAGTACTGTCCTGCCCTTTGTCTACCTGTAGGATCAGTGGCTTCCACAGTTAACTTCAAGACAATGTTAGAAACCCTAATAGTCTGTAAATAAAAGTAAAGCTTTACCTTAAAATAAGAACAAGGAAAACTCCCAAATGAAACATTCCCTTGTTTTTGGCAGCAGTTAACAGATAGCAGCTGGTGTGAGACTCCTGGATGCCATACTATGCTCTTTCATCTGCTGGAAATTCTTCAGTTGAATGAAATTATTCATTTGAAAGTTTTCATTGAATTTAGGCTGGTATTTCAGGGACTTTTTCTTCTGTAGTCTGAACAGTGGGGAATGCATCATGGTGCTAAATTGGGGAGATTGGGCCGTGAATATAGTCCAATCCATGAATTACTCTTTTTTGAGGGGCTGGTTCATTGAGGGAGAGAGAGCGAGAGAGAGGAATCAGAGATTTTATAACTATAGGAGGGATTATGTCCCATCTATGAGTCACTCTACCCCCATTCCCATTATCTCTGTCCACAATATTATGCCTGTCATAGACATTCAGGTGCTTCAGCGCAAATCCACTAAGTTCACACAAGTATCCCAAATGACCATCAGCTGATGGATGGATACATAAAATGTGGTATATGCATACAATGGAATATCATTTGGCAACAAAAGGGGTTGAAGTGCAGATACATGATACACCATGGATGAACCTTGAAAACATTATGCTAAGTAAAAGAAGTCAGACACGAAAGACCACATGTTATATGATTCCATTTCTACAAAATTCCCGAATAGGCAAATCTATAGAGACCAAAAGTAGATTAGTGGTTGCCTAGGGCTGGGGTAGGAGGGGGGAAGGAGAGTGAATGCTAATAGGTATAGGGATTTTGTGGATGGAGGTGGTGCATCTAAAATTAATAGTGGGACTTCCCTGGTGGTGCAGTGGTTAAGAATCTACCTGCCAATGCAGGGGACACAGGTTCGAGCCCTGGTCTGGGAAGATCCTACATGCTGCGTGGAGCAACTAAGCCCATGCGCCACAACTAATGAGCCTACACTCTAGAGCCTGCGAGCCACAACTACTGAGCCCACCTGCCACAACTACTGAAGCCTGTGCGCCTAGAGCCCGTGCTCCTCAACAAGAGAAGCCACCACAATGAGAAGCCCCCGAGCTGCAACAAACAGTAGCCACACTCACCACAACTAGAGAAAGCCAATGCACAGCAACGAAGACCCAACGCAGCCAAAAATAAATAAATAAATATATTTAAAAAAAAATTAATAGTGGTAATAGTTACACAATTCTGTGAGTATAATAAAAACCACTGTAAATTTTAAATAGGTGAATTATATGTTGCATAAAGTGTATCTCAATAAAGTCATTACTGAAAAGATAAAAGGAAGGAAAGATGTATACCAAGAAAACATTAGTTTAAAAAGCTGAAGTGACATATAATATTATAAAAAAGATTTTGGAACAAGGAATATTACCATGGATAAAGAAGGATTTCACAGTGAAAAAGGAATTAATTCATCAAAAAAAAATCCTATACGCGTATGCATATGGTAATAGAGCTTCAAAATAACTTAAGCAAAAACTGATGGAATTAGAGGAGAAATAGTCAAATCCACAATTATAACTAGGGGTTTTTATATTCCTCTCTCAAAAATTTATAGAGGAAACAGTAAATCAGAATATACAACACTTGAACAATACTATCAATCAACTACAACTAATTATCATTTAAAGAAAACTCCACACAACAAAAGTAGAACACCCAGTCTTTTCAACCGAACATGGACTATTCATCAAGGTAGATCATACTCAAGATAGATCATATTCTGTATCATATTGGATAGGTCTCAATAAATGCAAAAGGACTGAATTCATTTGAACATATTCTCTAACCACAATGGAATTAAATTATAAATCAATAACAGAAAAATATATGGAAATCCTCAAGTATTTAGAAATTAAACAGTAGACTTCTAAATAATCCATGGGTCCAATACAAATCAGAAGTGAAATTATTAATAATTTGAACTGAATGGAAATAAAAACACAATACATCAAAATTTGTGGGAGGGCTTCCCTGGTGGCGCCGTGGTTGAGAGTCCGCCTGCCGATGCAGGGGACACGGGTTCGTGACCCGCTCCAGGAAGATCCCACATGCCGTGGAGCATCTGGGCCCGTGAGCCATGGCCACTGAGCCTGCGAGCCGGGAGCCTGTGCCCCTCAACGGGAGAGGCCACAGCAGTGAGAGGCCCGCGTACCGCAAAAAAAAAAAAAAAAGTGTGGGATACAGCTAAAACTGTGCTAAGAAGGAAATTTATAGCAATGAATACAATCATCCCTTGGTACCTGTGGGGGGATTGGTTCCAAAACCACCACCCCCATACAAAAATCCAAGGATGCTCAAGTCCCTTTTATAAAATGGCTGTAGTACAGCTGGCCCTCCTTATCCCTGGGTTCCTCATCCTTGCATTCAACCAACTGCCCATCCCACAGATAAGGGGAGCTGACGGTATTTAACAAGAAGAACAGCCTCAGATCAAAAATCTAATCTTCGGGGCTCCCCTGGGGGCGCAGGGGCTGAGAGTCTGCCTGCTGATGCAGGGGACACGGGTTCATGCCCCGGTCCAGGAAGACCCCACGTGCCGCAGAGCGGCTGGGCCCGTGAGCCATGGCCGCTGAGCCTGTGCGTCCCGAGCCTGTGCTCCGCAACGGGAGAGGCCACAACAGTGAGAGGCCCGAGTACCGCAAAAAAAAAAATGAAAAGAAAAATCTAATCTTCCACCTTAAGAAACAGTAAAAAGAAGAGCAAAGTAAACCCAAGTAAGTAGAAGGAAGGAAATAATAAAGAGCAGAATCTATGAAACTGAAAACAGAAAAACAGTAGAGAAAAATCAATGAAAATAAAAGCTAATTCTTTGAAAAGATCAATAAAATTAATAAAAGTCAGATGAATCAGGGAAAAGAAGACAAAACTTACCAGTGTCAGGAATAAAAGAGAAGAGAATAAAGATCCTCAGACATTAAAAGGATGAAAAGGCAATATTATGGACTTTATGCCAATAAATTCAACAACTTCAATGAAAGACAAATTCCTTAAAAAATACAAACTACCAAAGATCATTCAAGAAGAAAGAAATGAACACAATATCCCTATAGCTACCAAATAAATCGGACTCATGGTTAAAAACCTCCTCACAAAGAAAACTCCAGGCATAGGTGACTTCACTGGTGAATGCCACCAAACATTTCAGGAAGGAATAATCCCAATTTTACACAGTCGTCTAGAAATAAAAGAGGAGGGGACACTTCCCAAATCATTTTATAAGGCCAGCATTATTCTGTTCCCGAAACCAGACAAAGGCATTACAAGAAGAGAAAACTACAGACCAATATCTTCATGAACATAGATGCAGAAATCCTTAACAAATGTTTTGCAAATTAAATCTAGCAACATATAAATTGAATGACACATCATGACTAAATGGGGCTTATCCAAGGAATGTAAAATTGTTTCAATATTCAAAAATCAATCAGTGTAATTCACCACATTAACAAACTAAAAAAGAAAAATCATCTCAATAGATGCAAAAAGCATTTGACAAAAGTCAAATCCATTTTTAATGAAAATTCTTGGCAAATTAGGAATAACGAAACTTCCTCAACACAATTAAAGACATCTATGAAAAACCTACAGCTGACATTATTCCTAATGCCTTCCTTCCTAATATAGGGAACAATGCAAGGATTTCTACTTACCACATTTCTGTTCAGCATTGTCCTGGAGGCCCTAGACAGTGGAATAATGCAAGAAAAAGAAATAAAAGTCATACATATTGAGAAAGAATAAGTAAAACAAAATCTATTTATATACAACATGATTGTATATGTTGAAAATCCTAAAGAATCTACAGAAAAGTTACCAGAGCCACGAAGTGAGTTTAGTAAGATTATAGAATACAAGGTTAATATACAAAATCAACTGTGTGTCTATTTACTAGCAATGAACAATTATAAAATGAATTTTTAAATACCATTTAAAAATATGAACTACTTGGGGATAAATTAAATAAAACATTACAAGATTTGTACACTGAAAACATCACTGAGAAAAATTAAGGAAGATCTTAATAAGTGAAGTTATATCATGTTCATGGGTCAGAAGCCTCAATATTGTTAAAATAGCAATTCTCTCCAAACTGAGCTACAGATTTGACACAATCACAAAAAAAAGCCAAGCAGACTTTTTTTTTTTTTTTTTTTAAGGTATGCGGGCCTCTCACCGCTGCGGAGCACAGGCTCAGGACGCACAGGCCCAGCGGCCATGGCTCACGGGCCCAGCCGCTCCGCAGCATGTGGGATCATCCTGGACCGGGGCACGAACCCGTGTCCCCTGCATCGGCAGGCGGACCCTCAACCACTGTGCCACCAGGGGAGTCCCAAGCAGACTTTTTTGTAGAAAGTAACAGCTGATTGTAAAGTTTATGTGGAAATGCAAAAAGTGTAGAATAGCCAAAATGGTTTTTAAAATAGAGAACAAAGTTAGAGGACTTACACTACCTTATTTCAAGACTTACTATAAAACTATAGTAATCAAGACAAGGTGATGTAATTGTAAAAACAGGCATGTAGAGCAATGTAACAGAATAGAGAGTCCATAAATAGACCCACATATGCATGGTAATTTGATTTTCAACAAAGGTGCCAAGGCAATTCAGTAGTGAAAAGATAATATTTTCAGAAAATAATACCAGAACAAGTGGGTATCCATATGCAGCACACACATATATACATACACACAAATGGGGGGGGTGAACCTGGAATCTTACCTCACTCCATTTACAAAATTTAATTCAAAATAAATTATAGCCTACATAAAAAATGTATTCAAAATGGATTACAGATCTAAACATTATGAGAACTATAACCATAATAGTTCTAGAAGAAAACATGAGAGGAAAGTCTTAGTCGGCTTTGGTTAGGCAAATATTTCTCAACTAGGACATAAAAATATAAAACATAACAGGAAAAATGATAAATTGGACTTCATCAAAATTAAAACCTTTTGTTCTCAAAAGACATTGTGATAAAAATGAAAAGGAAAGTGACACACTGAAAGCATTCACAATACATATAACTTATAAAGGACTTGTATACAACATATATAAGAATCCTGCAACTCAGTAAGAAGACAAACAGCCCAATTTTTAAATGAGCAAAAGATTCCAACAGACACTTCACCAGAGAAGACATATGAATGGCAAATAAGCACATAAAAAAATGCTTAACATCATTCATCATTAGTGAAATGCAAACTAAAATCACAGTGCAATTCTACTTCAGACTCAGTAAAGTGACTAAAATTAAAAAGACTAACAATCCAAGTGTTTACAAGGATGTGGAACAATTGAAACTCTCATACATTGCTGATGAGAATATGAAATTATATAACCTCTTTGGAAAACAGGCGGTTTCTTATAAAGCATACTTACTATATGGACTCAATTACTCTGATACTGGGTATTACCCAAGAGAAATGAAAATGTATGCTCACATAAAGACTTGTTGAATGTTCAGAGCAATTTTATTTATAACAGTCAAATCTAGAAAAACCCTTCAACTTGTAAATGGATAAATTATACAATATCCACTCAATTGAATGATACTCGGCAATAAAAGGAAACAAATTATTGATACATGCAGCAATGTGGGTGTTTCTTAAAGCATTCTAAGTGAAAGAAGCCAGACAAAAAAGACTACAAACTATATGATTTCATTTACATAAAATCCCCAAACTTTTGGGGGTGGTGGAGACATTCTCTATATCATGATTATGAATGTGGTGAAATGGCTAATATATACAGTATACGGTTAACTCTTGAACAACATGGGAGTTAGAGGCACTGATCCTCTGCTCAGTTAAAAGTCCAAGCATAGGAGCTTCCCTGGAGGCGCAGTGGTTGAGAATCTGCCTGCCGATGCAGGGGACACGGGTTCATGCCCCGGTCCGGGAAGGTCCCGCATGCTGCGGAGCGGCTGGGCTCGTGAGCCATGGCCGCTGAGCCTGTGCGTCCGGAGCCTGTGCTCCGCAACGGGAGAGGCCACAACAGTGAGAGGCCCGCGTACCGCAAAAAAAAAAAAAAAAGTCCAAGCGTAATTTACAGCCAGCCCTCCACATCCTTGATTCAACCAACCCCAGATCATGTAGTACTGTAGTACAAATTTAGTGAAAAAAATCTGCATATAAGTGGACGCATGCAGTTCAAACCCATGTTTTTCAAGGGTCAACTGTACACTTAAACTTATTAAATTTTATTGTATGTGAATTATACTTCAGTAAAGCTGATTTTTAAGGTGATGTAAAAATATTTAGTATAAGTTTAGAAAAAGTCTGGAAGAATGTACATTAAATTCTTAACAATGGAGAAGAAATTACAAAAGACTTTCAACTTCTATTTCACTTTGTTATATACTCTATAATGTTTTATCTTTTTCCAAAGAGACTTCTATATTTGTCAAGATTCTTATGATTGCTAGTGACAGAAACATAACTCAAACTAATTTAAGAAAAGGCAAAATTTATTGGTTTATTGTGTCACTAGTTCATTTATTTATTGCGTCATCTGGGGGTAGATTCAGACATAGCTGGATCTAGGTGCTCCACTGAAGTTTCTGAGAATGAAGCTTTCCTCATCTATTGGTTCTTCCTTCCCCTGCGTTGGCTTCATTCTCAGACTGTCTCTCTCCCTGTGAGGATGACACAGCAGCCTAATAGCTTAGCAACCCCAGAGGAAAAGTCACACCAGGAAAAGTGCTGAGCCAACTCTTAAAGACGCAGCTGGGACACATTTCCTTCCCTGAGCCCTGGCACCCTGATGGCCAGGCATGGGTCACAGGACCATGCATGGAGCTGAGCAAGGGCAGGGTGGTCTCAGCCCCATACTGAAGAGTGGTTCCCAAAAGGAGAGAAAAAAAAAAAAGAGGGTCTGATATCAGAATAAAGGCAGCTTAGCAGGCATAAACAGCAGATGACTACTATAATATACTGCTTTTAGAATTAAGGAAAAAGTTATTTTGCTTTTAATCTTTATAATAACAGAGCCCAAGGAAATATCTTCTGGTGCTTTTCTAACAGAGCATAGCATAAAGCCCACTGTTATGAACTGAATGTGTGTGTCCCCCCAAAATTCATATGTTGAAACCCTAACCCCCCATATGATGATATTAGGAGGTAGAGTCTTTGAGAGGTAGCTAGGTTTAGATGAGGTTATGAGGGTGGAGCCTCCATGATGGAATTAATTTCCTTCTAAGAAGAGAAAGAGACTAGAACACTCTCTCTCCACCATGTGAGGATACAGTGAGGAGGTGGCCATCTATAAGCCAAGAAGCAGGCCCTCACAGGACGCTGAATCAGCCAGCACCTTGATCTTGAACTTCCCAGCCTCCAGAACTGTAAGAAATAAATCTTCATTGTGTAAGTCATCCGTTCTATGGTAATTGTTATAGCAGCCCAAGCTGACTACCTGACCCACATATCAGCCTTCTCTGATGGATTAGGGAGGAGTTAAGGAAGATGCCATCCAAGGGGAACCCTTTCCCTGCCAAAACAGAGGGTAATTTGTAGAATGGAGTAGAGGTAAGATAGGGCTTGAAGAAGATTTGGGTAATCCCTTGAGGGAAACGACATAGGTGGTTGACTAGAGATGAAAAAAAGGACTTCCAAGTAAAGCCAAGGGTGGCCATGTGACACACCATGTGGCCATTCTGGGATAGGGGGATGGCTGAAACGATCGTGGTGTTGCTTCCATGCGCTACCTGGAATCAAGCTGCCGGATAACGATACTGCACTTCTGAAGTGTCAGGCCACTTGTGCTTGATGGTAAATAATTTTAAATACTTTTATATTAACACAAATAAGAATGCATTATGAAGTAGAATGCAAAAATTGCATGTGATTTTTAAGATAAAATACAAACTCCTTGCTTGCAATAACCCCTCTGCCTCTCACTGCCTCTCACTCTCTCCTTCATGTGAATTCAGGTTCCTCTGCCATTAGAAATTCTTTGGTGGAAAATTCTGAGAAGTATTTCTTTAAGGAATAAGGGCTGGGGATAAAGGATGTTCTTGGGGTTTTTACAGTGTCCAGACACTTTGCCAGAAGAAGAAACCAGGCAAGGATTCAGGAAGATTTGGGATTTTGAAGACAGGGCTAACATCTGGAGGGATTGGCAGAACCAATGCTAGTATATGCATAAGGGACTGAGGTTCAGGGCTGCTCACGTAAATCCTAAGAGCAGCTGCATTCCTGGGTAACATCTCATGTGGAAAGCATGGGATCCTGCCCTGGCTTAGGGTCTGGATTAGCATCTCTTTGAGGAGTAGGAATCTAGTGTTCTTGCAGAGGCACATCCATTTCTGGGGTCAGGGGAAGTTCATCTCTGAACAACAAGCTCTGGTGAGCAGCTTTTTGCCTCAGAATTGGTGGAGAAGAGAGATGGAGCCCAGAAGGTTTAGAGTTCACAGGTTTAATAAGATATGGGAGATCCACAAAGGGTCATAAAAATAAAACGACATTTTAACACCACAAAAGTAAAAAGGACAAAATGGAAATGATAGCCCTTCCCCAGAAAAGGACCATTAGCTGGCACCTGGTCTTTTTTTTTTTTTTTTCCTTTCATCACAAGGCAGAAGAAAAATTTTATCACAGATCACAGCATTCTGAGGAACTGAGAATACTGCAGTGAAGGACAGGATGGGTCCTTCCTTTTATGCACTCTGGGATGACTGAAA